GGGGGGAAATGAACACACTAGGCTAATACAAGCATACATTTTACATTAGTATATGTTTTTTACAAAAACATTGTTTAGCAGTTGAGTAGTTTCTGCATATCCAGGCAGCACAATGGTGTAGTGGTTAGCACTTCTGCCTTGCAGCACTGGGGGTCCCTGGCTGGAATCCTGGCCAGAACTATCTGCAAGGAGTTTGCATGTTCTCCCTGTGCTTGCGTAGGTTTCCTCGGGGTACTCCGGTTTCCTCCCACACTCCAAAGACATGCTGGTAGGTTAATTGGCTCCTCTCTAAGTTGGCTCTCCTATGTATGCATGTGAGATAGGGACCTTAGATTGTAAGCTCCTTGAGGGAAGGGACTGATGTGACTGTGTAACTATGTAAAGCGCTGTGTAAATTGTCGGCACTATATAAATACCTGTAATAATAGTTTAAAAATATCTACTTGCCATCTTACTTCTATGACAGTTTAAAGTGAACCTTACACCTTTTTCAAACTCACAATTTTTGCTTAACAGCGGTTACCATGGCAGGCTTGCCATTTCCTCACTTTAATTACAAAAAAATGCTCTTTTGAGTACAACATCTGCTTCAATATATCCCCTGATCCTGGATCCACTCTGCTACCAAAACTTTTATTGCTATGACATCTGGGTTAAGATTCATTCGTATAACGAATCCCCCAAAACAATGTAATGGCAGCACCTGGGTAGTTAATAATAGAATATTGAGACTTATTGCATAGTGAGAAGTCTGGATAGAGCTTAGCATCCGAGGTGAGGGTTAGTCCTAAAGTTAAAGGTTCTCAGGGTTACAGCAATGCACACAGGGGGGCTTTGTGGCTAAGAAACCAAAGCCTATTCTTATGTGGGACTTTAAAGATTCAAAAGGCTGACAGGTATGGCTTGGTTATACAATTATGAGATGTACTGTGGCTTTTGTGGATCTTATTTATGGAATTATTAAAAATTACTTTTAAAGTGTTTTCCACTTTCATCAAGCAAGCTGACATACCTTAATGGGAGGATTCATACTTATTGGTGGGTAATCAGCTATTTTTGGGCCATTTATAGTCACACCAAACTCAGGAGTTAAATCTTAATACTGCATACAAGTACACTAAATATTAACAAAAAAATTAACTTATTTGTGTATTACTCAGCTGTAAATTCTTAATCATCTCTGAACTGGTAGTGACACTGTCCTTCCTTCTGGAGTGTGGCTACTGTTGTTCTCCATGGTCCCTGTGTGTGTTGTAAAAAAACACCACTACAAGCTCACTCCTGTGAGAGATTATAGCTTCAATACAAATTAGCTAGCTAAACATGAGACTAAAGTCTATCACGGGAGGGAGTTTGGAGCAGTGGCTACTTTACAACACACACAGGGACCATGGGGAACAAAAGTAGCCACCCTCCAGAAGGAAGGACAATGTCAGCACCAATTCAGAGATGATTTGAGGATCTACAGCTGACTGATACACAAATAAGATACATTTCTGTTAATAGTTCAGGTACTTGAATGCATTTGTAAGATTTAACTCCTAAATTTAGCATCTCTTTAAGAGTAGCTCAACAATTGTAATAGGATAAAGATAAATGGTATAGAGAAAGAATCCAAGCAGTTCCAAGTCCTGATACCAACTTTACAGCTGCTCCTAAATGGCCTCAAAATACGTGATCAGAAGATCCCAGAGGTTATGACCTAGCACTATTTGTAATCTATCAATTTTTCTGAAGTGTCCTTCTTCAAAGTGTGTTATATCACAGTGTGTAAGTGTAGCAACTAAAAATGAATACTCTTGTATATATCACATGCATCAAGGAACACATATATATATAAACCACAAAGATGGCACATGCATAATTGTTTACAATTTAGATCAACAATAAGACTTGAATGGCTTGGCTTGCCTACTAATTGGTAGACCCCATATGATGCTAAAAGTGTCATAAGAAATGAATGACCATGTTAAGCTGACTAATGGGTCATCAGTGATATGCCTGTGGCTGTTTGTTAGGTTTTCATTGTCAAAATTCCCATATGATATAGGGATGTAAGTTTGTTCATCATTCACTATGTGGTTTTGATTAATTTAAGATGTTTGCCCATATTTCAATATATTTATTATTACACTGAAACAAAGTGACATTGCCATTGTGGATTACCATTTGTAACACAGGTATTCCAGAGCTACCTAAAACATGCTGGTAGACTGGAGTTAATAAACTGTTTACAGAGACTCAAGAAAAGGCATCACAAATACCCAGGAGGCACAGACTGCCCCTAAGTTGTACCATACAAAATAATAATAAAAAAGTGGGCACATATGACAAGGTTACTTTGTACAGATCTGTCCTAACAAAATATGGGGCTTACAAATATGGCATACAAAGCCTAGGTTCCCTATTTATTACACCACATTTAACCAACCTTGGATACCAGTTTTGTTGACTAGCATCTCAGGAAATATATAATGTCAGGATGTAGTCTCAGTAAGTGTCAGTCTCTAATCAAATTAAAAAGTCAACAGAAGACTTTGGCAAGGCCATGTAGCCCTTTGAGGCCTAAATCAACATGCTCTGCTGGTGGTGTGGCATACCTTTTTTTCAGTTTTATTTTGTATAGTTAATTTATTCTCAGTTTTCTGCATATTTATATGTTGTTTTCTGTGTACTTAGGATATATGGACGTGAGCTCAAATAAGGAAATAAAATGCAAAAAAAATGCAGTATAGTGATTATCAGTTTCGGTCTGCCGAAGCGTGTCCAGGCTTGTGCTATGTGTATGATGTAACTTCCATTATAGTGTAGAATGCAGATGGCCAATAAAGCAACATGGGTATAACATGAGGGCATCAAAGGCTATCTGCAAGGAGCCTTTCTCAACTAAGGACAGGTACTGTATAAAGATGCGATGTTCTTACAATGCAGGAATGATAAATACTAATATATCTTTTTTTGAGGTTAGCAAAGCAATGCTGTTGAAGGCTTGCTATAACACTAAAGTGCTGACACAACAACCAAATGTAATAGTTTATCTTCTGTGGTTGGCAGCCAGGCCACTGCAAACTAACCAGCCGGCATGTTTGCTGTGCCAGATGACACAGATTTTTTATAATTGGTTAGATCTGAATGTTTTCATAACTAGTCATTAAAACAAACAAACTCCTTCTCCGATTTTCAACTGTGTGGCACATGTGTCAAATCTTTACTACTAGCGGTTTCATGAGTTAAGTTGTGTTAACACTTTAATTCGCCCATGTGCAACTGTATATGTGACAGCTGCCAAAATGTGAAGATCACGCAATCACTATCTATCTATCTATCTATCTATCTATCTATCTATCTATCTATCTATCTATCTCATACGGTACGCATACACACACCAAAGTCATGCCCTCCAGCCCATTTCCAGAACACTTACTATGCGAGTCACCCTTTTCTCGGGATCCATCCACTTTCCCATCTGAATTGATCCTTAGGAAGAAGCCCCCATTCTTACAATAGAGTCTTTTGGGGTCCTTAAAGTTTCCTGGGGGGAATGGATTGCTACCCCCATCATCTGACCCTGTTGCGAGGGTAGTGATGCTGCCAGCTGCCATTCCCACCTCCAGAGTTCAGTGAGCTACCCCTTCTTCCTGGCACAATGGCACTTGTTCAAAAAGGGTCCAACAGGTAGCGGTGTCTCTTAAATAGCAGTCGTTTCTTCAACGTCTTTCCCTTGTCTGGGCCTCCTCACTGTTCATTCAATTACTAGCAGCTGGAAGTAGGACCAGCTTATGCTGTATAATGTATTTCCATCGTCACACGAATCTAAAAGCCAGTGTACTGTAGACGCATACTGTAAATAGAAAATCTTTGCATAGGATGCTCTGTCCTTTGGCTTCAGCTCTGCTCTCCTGTGAAGCCTGCAAGTGTTTTAGCCATGCTTCGTATAAAGAAGTGCGTAGTGACTGCTTTATAAATGAGAGCAGCGGTGGCTGGAGCCAGGGGCACTGTGCAGGCTGCTCTTCATCCTGATCCAGCCCTCTACCACCAAGGCTTGTTATGTCAGAATGGGCTTAATTATTTGTATAGGTGAAGCCCTCCTTCTCCACCTCTTTCTTCCTCCTGCTGCTTCTAAGTTCAGGGCAACTAACAGCCAGAGTCTCAGTGATGTTGTGACTCTCAGCCAGCTCGTATTTTTCCCAGCCCCTCAAGTGTAGGAAGCTAAATGAAAGCTCAGTGCCAGAAAGCAAATGGACTATAAGAAGCGGTATAGTGTTCCTGGGTATTTTCTTAGACAGGCTCTGCCAGTCAGTTCTCAGCATTCAGTTCCCTCCCCCAACATTGAATTACTTTGCAGGGCAATCAAGGGAGGAGGCAGAGACAGGAGAGGAGATGGGGGGTTTGTGCTACAGAGGAGACTGCCAGATCTTTTATTATTAAACTAACTTTCTACATCACTCTGTTCATGGAGGCAGGCGCAGGCAGGCTGCAAAACATTTAAAGAACCAATAACAGACCTAGCGGCATCTGGACTATGTAGCAGTCCTACATCACAAATGTATCAGTTTAGCAGATCAACCAAAACAATCTATATCCATGCATGCAGCATGGTCCTCCGTATAATATCTGCACTAACATTTATTATTTTTATTAAAGAACTGCAAAGGATACATGTTTATATTTTCTGCAAATTCTACAAGAATGTTTGGATTTAAAGAGAAAAAATATAGACTGTTTCAAGATGATTTGTTTTAAAATGATTTCATTTATAAATGTGGTTTAGTCAGATTTACAGTGTCAGTGTTTAAAGAACCAGTAATGCAAAAAAAAAAAGTATTGTGTTAACTGTATTCTTGACAGCCGACTAAGATGCCCAGAAAAAGTGACAGTATTTGGGACAAACTGTAACCCTACCAGGGACACTATTAATAGTTATCTTTTATTCACGTGGTTTGAATCTTCATGAATAAGAAAACAAATGCTGCCACTGCTCAAGCATGCCTGGCACTCCCTATCATTGTTATTGTAGCTGGACAGCTTGGTCTGCATGTAAATGTGGAGCAAAATATAAAAAAAGACAATGAATAAGGAATTAAATATATTATTATATGTATTAAACTGCATACAGTTATCAGAATATACTTTTTTTTTTTACAACAATGGTCTTTTGACAAAATTTGACTCATACAAATTGTAAACTATAGCAAATAGATATTTCCATCTCTGATTTTCTATTATACTGTAACATGCAGACAAATAAAGAAAAAGTCCATGCAGTTCAGCCTGTGATCATCCTGTCTAACCATGTCATGAAATTACTGTATGCACACGGTGGCACAGTATATAGCAAATTTGCTAAATAAATACAATGCCTGCAGTCCAAAAAACAGAAATGGGTATTTGTGTGCTATAGGCTACAAGGTGGCATCTATGTGCTTCATCATCTTTTTTTTTTTTTTTTTTAGGTACTCTGACAATGGATGCCATAATGGGAGTCACCTGTTTATTATCACAGATTAACTTCCATGCTATTGTTAAAGTGTATCTAAAGGCATTCCCTTTTTCCTAGCTTTGGATAGAGTAGGATGTGGTTCTCACTGATTCACGACTCAACTAACCTAACTTGCATGTCTTCGAGCAGACTGTCCCAGGCTACTAAGCAGTGCCTCTCTTACGCTTGCAATGTGTTCCGGCGTCCTTGCAGGGCGGGCGGGGCCTGGTGGATTTTTGTTCATAATGTTTCCGGTTGTTCTGAAATGTTCAACCCACCTGAGGACCGTGTTGCGACTGGGAATGGCCTTGTGTCGAGCAACATTGAATTCTCAACAAAATAGCCGCTGCGTTGCTGTGACATACTCACCACTTCAAACAAAGCTGTCGTAAGCAAACAAACGATGTTGTAATGTCCATTGCTTCATTGTGACTGAATTGGCATTCCAGTGGGGGGAAAAGACACCTAGCCTGTCCCCCTCCCATCACCACTTACCGTGTACTACCAGTTCTAAAAACGTCCGACTCCCGTCGGTCACCCTGTATAACAAAAATAATAATACAAACCATATGTGACAGGATGTAAAGACTAAAGATTTGTTATATGCCAAAAAAGCATTTTGCATGGGCCTAGCCAAACTGCCATGGGGTTTAATGTAGAATATAAACCATGGCCTGACTATATATCCACACTACAAATAACTTCCAGACACTCAACCTGTTTAGCATTTGAATAGCGCTACCCAGGGGAGAAGACCTAGTAACAATTGCTCCCTACTATCCATATTGCTATACCATTCTCACTCCAGGGTAATCGTCATGGCAATAAATATTTGGGATAATATATGACGGATACCACAAAAATATAGATTTAACAGAACAAAAATCCATCTAGAGTTTTGCCATCTCAAATATTTAAGCTGTGCTGTTAGGCAGGAAATCACTATGAAACTGTGATGTTATTCATCTTGATTTCCTGGCACTTAAGACACTGTAAGGATTTCTTAACAGCTTTACTCTTTTTTTGGCATTTGTATAAGTGCCATATATATCAGTGTTTCCCAAAGTTTGGTCAACCCCTTAACAGCTCTGTAGTATCTTAGAGTTACCTTTGCTATAAGGCTCCGCTCACACCCAGGTGTTTTGTTGCTCAAAGCTAAGCATGACAATACGCTCAAGAAAAAGGATCCAACTAATTTCTATGGCCCCTGTTCACAGTGATTTGTCACACGTTTCCCATTGAAGTCTATGGGACCGAAAATCGCTGTAATCCAGGGATGTTGGGTCAGGGGAAGCAGAGCCTCACCTAGTATTGTGGAGGAAAAAGCTGTCAGCTTCAAGTCTGAAACTGACAGCTTTTTCTCCATTTAGACCGGTTCCACAACAGAGGGCTTCCCCACTGCTTGTGTAACCTTGAAGTGCCTCAGCTAGCATGGACTCCACCGCATGTCACTGGTTATAATCTGCCAAAAGAGACATGCTTTTCTGCTTGGTACAAAACGCTCAGGTGTGAACAGGGGCCATAGAAAAGAAAGGGATTGCTTGTCTTGAGCGTTTTGTCACACTTACTTTTGAGCTGTGAACAGGGAATAAAAGTGGACCTATACACGAGCTTGTGTTATACAGTTTGCTCCCCTGAGAAATCACAAATGCTACATTGATACCAGAAATATTTACCTGTCTCCTGGAATCCGTGCAGTTCCTTTGCATTTGTTTTTTCTGTGGTCAGATGTTCCCTGCCGAAGGCACTGGCACTGATTGGCTAGCTTTTCTGAACGTCTCTCCTTCTGGTGCCTTTGTCAGAAACAGCATGACAGGCCTTGGAATGGAGAAGAATTCAGGAGTTAGTTAAGTCTTTTCTTGTCTGTGTAGTTGTTGCTACGGTGCTATTGACTTGAATGCCTTGTCACACCCCCTCCCGCCCCAGAGTGCAGGGAGAACTGCGTGAATTTGGCACAGGAGTCGGTAGAGGTCCAGAAAATGGCACAGATATATTTTAGAATTTGGCGCCTAGTCCTGCACTTTGTTTACTGCCTTGCTGAATAAAACACATTTCAATGCAGGAGGGCAGCAAGTCCAGCACAGCAAGTCCATAGGATAAAGGAAACACCACATCTGCTCATCTGAGCCAGTAACTAAATTCAGGTGAGTTCCTGACTAATAGGGCACCCCCTTAATGGGTTCCACAATACAGACAAGCAGCTTTGCTACCTTTTTAGTGTTCTGTCAGCATTCTGCCTTTTCGCCAGCAGCAGGCTGCCATAACAGAAAGAGTGAGTGAGAGAGAGAGCCTCTAGCATCAGTCAGCTCAGATATAAGACCCATGCACCACTGAGACTAAGCCCTTATTCACACCTACAATGTAGGTGTGTTTAGGGATTCCTGTGTCAGGAACTTGTGATTTCCTGTGGCAGGAATCCCAAATCTACCATTTACAAGCAGCAGCTGTCACCTTTTCAAGTTAATGATCAGGTGACAGCAGCTGCATCTGAAAGCGACAGAACACTGGCACACCACATGTATTGGCATGTGAAACGATTACATGCGTTTATCAATCACTATCCACGGACACATCAATCGTGTATCCAGGGCATGATTAGGCATGATTTACTATAAGATATCCCTCCCTCATTCAATAATTTTCTACAGCACTAAATGAAACCTCAATGTATTAATTTATGCAGTTGACTTGAAAGAAAAAAACAATTCTATTTAATCAGCAATATTAGGCCTACCTGCTGACTGAAGGAAAACATTTCATCATGATCTTGGCCCAAGAATTCAGCTACATCCTTTCTGATTGATTTCCAAGTCCCACACAACTCATCCACTCACTTATTTTTCTGACCTCACTGGTATGTCTGTACACAGCCCATCTTTGGGATTTGACTAAATAGTTACACCATCTGTGTGTTACTAATGCCACTGACAAAGAAGGAAGAGGATTGGGAGTAATCACATTACATCACTGATTATTTGCAACAATACCTTATGCAGTCTTTTTTGTACAAAATATAGCTATAGCCTTTTGTGATCTCTATATCCTATTTTTTCCTGTAATATTGATTGTTAACCCTTCACTATCATTCTCCTATGAATACTTCCCAAGAAATATAACTACATAACGATGTATGAGACTGCTATCTCCAGACATTATTATATTATTTTGAACATTCTGACTACTGGGTGGACCTCGGTCATACAGAACTGGCAGAAACATTCTGGAAAAGTCATTCCCTGTGACACGCCGGGCTATGACTATTTGTTTGGGCTCAACTCTCAGCCTGACATTAGGAATATTTGTACACATACACAACGATTTCCCTTGAAAAAGAGACAGCAAGACAAATACTATTAGTGAACCAATGCTATGAAAGGGAAGAGACAAAAACATCCTCAAGATTTTATTAGGAAAATTATGAATCTGCTTACAACTTCTAGTTACCCTGAGATGACAAATGCATGAATAACTTGCAGTGTTCACTTAACAACTTTTTCATGCACACTCTATATTGGTCATCTTAACTCATCACCTCATACACTCAGATCAGTAATAATTTAACAGTAAAAAGTCTGAAGTCTTACCTGGAATAAGCTGTGCTGTGATGGCCTGGTTGATTTAATGCTGCCACATTTTTATATAGCATAGCAATAGATATCAATGGCTCCTAATCTTAAGACCAAGACTAGAACATCAATCAGCCATAATATTATGACCACCCCCTAATATGAAGTAGGTCTTCCTTTTACCGCTGAAACAGCACTGACCGGTTGAGGAATGGACTCCACTAGACCTCTGAAGGTATGCTGTGGTATCTGACAC